AAATATTTTCCAGGAGCCTGCATCCCACTCCAGGGCCATCCCAGATACTCCCCGAGAGCTTTTACTTCTCCAGTCCCTCCTTGGGGAGGCCACATCGGTGCCATTCTAACGATAACTGCCTTTTATGAGTGTCTGCCATGTGCCACGCACTGTGCTAGGCATTTTATATACATAATTCCACTTAACCTTCACAAGCCACTGAGGCAGCAGTGAACTCATTTTACACCAATTCAGAAGCTCAGAATGGTGAATGACTTTCTTAAGGGGTACAGTCGGGTTTTGAACTCAGGTCTGCCCAACTCCAAGGCCAGTGCTGTTAACCTCCCCTACATTCTGTGGTCTTCCACTGGACTCAGGGCACACTGAGGTGGAGTACACACACAAAGACCACCAAGAAACAAGAGAACTGGGGATCTGGCCTGGTGTCCAGTAACTGGACAAATGCAGCTCTTTTTAAAGGCAAACTCTTGTTATCAGTCCACTAAGTCTCAGCAGCAGACCCCAAAATAGGAACTTCTTCTGCCCCAACATAGAAAGATGGCTTTTACCTGCCCCCAGAACAAAGGCTGAGGTGGGCTTTTTCGTTTTGTTTTTTTTTATTTGTTTGTTTTCTATAATACAGACATCATCACTCTTAACAGCGACGATGACAACAGCCGCTAGCATTTTTTGAGCGCTCCGGATGTGCCAGGCACTATTCTAAGTGCTTTACTCAGACGACCTTAGCATACCCTCATGGCAGTGCTGTGAGACAGGAACTATTATTATCTCCATTCGTGTAGACGAGAAGGCTGAGGCCCTGATTGCACTTAATTGTGAAGAGGTAGGATGATGTGAGGGAGACTGCACGACATATTCACTACCTGTTGAGATCACGTGTGACCACTGTGTACCTTGCACTTTTGTGCAGGTTTCCTGTGGACTGCCCCTTCCATTCTCCTAGCTCAGGGCAGTAACGAGAGCAGTTCTTATCAAACAGATGAGAAAATGGAGGTCTGGAGCAGGTAAAGTGGCCCCCGGGGCTTTGGTGAGGATCTGTTTTCTAAGCTACCAGGGTACCAGCTTTGTAATCAACTGCTGAAGACAGATTTCTGTCCAGGGGTTTGAGGTGGAGTCCTGTAGACCCAAACACAGGAGGTAGAACAGGCAGCTTTGGAGCCATCAAAAGTACTGTGAGCCCTTTAAAAACCCTTTCTTTTAAAAAAATGTTCAAGCCTTAAAAAAAGTTATCCAGGCCAGGTGTGGTGGCTCACGCCTGTAATCCCAGCACTTTGGGAGGACAAGATGAGCAGATCATGAGGTCAGGAGATCGAGACCATCCTGACTAACATGGTTAAACCCCATCTCTACTTAAAATATAAAAATTAGCTGGGTATGGTGGTATGCACCTGTAGTCCCAGCTACTCAGGAGGCTGAGGCAGGAGAATCACTTGAACCCAGGAGGCGGAGGTTGCAGTGAGCTGAGATCGTGCCACTACACTCCTGCCTGGGGACGGAGCAAGACTCCATCTCAAAAAAAAAAAAAAAAAAAAAAAATTATATAAACTTGCAAGAATATTTAACATGAAGCTCAGATGCACATGATGACAAAAAGAAATACAGTGACTGTCGAGTCATCCCAACATGTACTCTGCACTAAATGTATGTCTGAGGCTCTAAAACCCTGGGCTGCAAGTACAGGTGTGGCATATATCGTAGCATGGAGGTATCCAGCGACAGGGCTAACCTCCAGCCTCTCGCTCTTCCCCTTCTCCCATGTTCTCCTTCTGATACTTGCATTTCTAGATGCATAAAAAATGATTAATTTGGCTCCAGCTGCAGACTAGGAGGTTGTTTTGGTCAGACACCAGGTGGCTCTTGAGATAAGCCACACTGTCCTGCCAAAGGACACCTTTCTTGTCCACGTAAGGGGACCAAGGGATGCTGAGGAAGCACAGATTCTCCTCCTAAGGAAAGTACCAGCATTTACCTTTGGGAGGAAGAGGGAGCTTTCCAGAGGGAGCATAACAGATTACAGGCTTTAGTGCCAGTGCCAAATGGATTTGAACACCCCTTCTGTGTCCTGGACAGTCAGCTGCACAACCTGAGGCTTGGTTCCCTGTCTGTGGAAATGGGACAGTTATGCAAACAGCTCTCAGTGCCACTGTGAGGAGGGCCAGACAGGCAAGATGAGTGACAGAACCTGCCCAGGCACCCAGCACTCAGCAGCCTGGAGGTATCTGAGCACTGTCTGTCCCCTGACCTGACCGGAACCTGGATCTGCTCTCAACAGGCCTCTCTGAGGCCACTGCAGCACCTCTGTCTCAGATGGCTGCCACTTGGTCAGGTGCTGGTCAACAAGGAGCAGGAAGGCTTTGCTCCCTCCATGTCCCGATGTGGTCCATCCACAAAGGACATCCCTCCATGAAGTCATGTTCATGGGCTTTCCTTTTGGGGCTGGGAAGGGAGTATTTGCCTTTCCCCTCCCCACTTCCTGTATTTCTATATGCCTAATTTTTTGCTCTAAGAAGTCATTATGTTTCAATTGAGAAGAGTTAATAGCCACCTCCATTTCAAAGGGCAAAAATGTTAAATTTCCATTAATTCTTTTCATTTTAGCCCTTGGATGGTTTTAAATCTCTGTTTATTCATCTTCCTGAATAAAGGATATTCTGGAATTTCACAGCATTATTTAGCATTCTCATATTCTATCCTGTAATTTCAACCCCTGTCATTGTCTTCACACAAAGAAAAACAGCAAAGTAGACATCTCCCTCTGGAATGAAAGCCTGGACAATAGTGTTTACGTGCCTGCCCAAGGTGAGTTTGAAAATAAAGAAAATATAGCAGTTTGATTCCTCCTAGCTCCACAGTACTTTCCAATACCAAAACAGCTTCCTCACACATCAAGGTAATCTGCAAAGGGAAACTGACAGTCAGCATAAGTGGCTGCTTAAAGCATTTCTTTGCACATATGTTCCTTGTTGTTTTTAAAACAAAGATGCAATTAAGAAAAATGTATGCAAATAAAAATTGTCTAACTCAATTGTATACACATTAGGAAATTTACCTACTAAAACACTGTCACAATTTTTAAGAGCAAAAAAAAAAAAATCCTGCAATTCAATAATCTCTTTCTAATTAAACTGTTTGATTGGCTGATTTTGGTCTATACTGGATTTATAAAAAATAAAAGTCACCTGTATTAATCTTGACTGCTTGGTAATCTAGCAGAATAATTTGAGAATCTATTTGCTAACATGTCAATTTCCAGATGTCATTTTTGGAAAAAAAAAAAATGAGAATTACTGCATTTGTTTATTAAAAAGGTAATCCCATCACAATTCTTCACTAAGGTCTTAAAGACTAAAAGTTATTTGGAATGCTGTGATTTATTCTGCCTGAGGAATATATCAGGAAAATGTGATCAAGTTTTAGAAAGTATCCAAAGGATTAGAAATGATTCTACTATAAAGACACATGCACACTATGCTTATTGCAGCACTGTTCACAATAGCAAAGGCTTGGAACCAACCCAAATGCCCATCAATGATAGACTGGATAAAGAAAATGTGGCACATATACACCATGGAATACTATGCAGCCATAAAAAAGGATGAGTTCATCTCAAAAAAAAAAAAAAAGGATGAGTTCATGTCCTTTGCAGGGAGGGAACATGGATGAAGCTGGAAACCATCATTCTCAGCAAATTAACACAAGAACAGAAAACCAAACACCGCATATTCTCACTCATAAGTGGGAGGTGAACAATGAGAACACATGGACACAGGGAGGGGAACATCACACACCGGGGCCTGTTGAGGGGTGAGGTAAGATTAGGGGAGGGATAGCATTAGGAGAAATACCTAATGTAGATGATAGGTTGATGGGTGCCGCAAACCACCATGGTACATGTATACCTATGCAACAAACCTGCACACTCTGCAAATGTACCTAGAATGTAAAGTATAACAACAACAAAAAAAAGACAAAAAAGAAAGAAAGTATCTATCTTCTAAAGAAAGGGGATCCCTTCCTAAGGTGGTATCACCCTCACTTTTCAAAATGGGACATGCACACAACATGAAATTTCTGTACCCAGGCATCTGGAAAAACAGTCAAGCAGGCATGGCACGAAGTCCTTCAGGGTGTGCTGGAGGGCGGGGCTGGCCATCTAGCTATGCAGTCACATTGAGCCATGAGATAATCACCTCAATGATTCCACAGAGAAGTGTAGGTACCAAGATGTGGATATGGGGGGGAACCTTGAAATGTGATAAAGGACTATGCCACCAGCATGTCTCTGGAACCTATGATAGGGCAAAGTTCTAAAGTAGACAGTCTGTGTCAATGGAGACTTCACAATGTCTATTTCCCTTTGAAGCAAGGTGAGCGCCATGTCCCAGTTTGCCTGGATAGTCCCGGTATAGGCCAATTCTCCTGGCATAACTATTCATAGTGTCTCCTTCCGCTCTTCAAAGTGTCCTGGTGTGGGTGAAGATTACACTGTCAACTCCCTTCAGGTGTGGCTCACTTACACCTCCCGGCCACCCCAAGATGCTCAGAGCTTTCCCAGCAGAGCCCACTAGTCAAGATTTTTCTGCTCCTCCTCCTGACCCACTCCCTCAAGACCAAAGAACCCCAAACATATCCCTCCTGATGAAGATGTGTTTGAGAACAGCCTTTTGCAGACACTCACCCTAGAATAGAGGGGTGCAAACGATGCAGTAATTCAAGCCCGTATCCAACCCAGGAGGGCAGGGACTTTGACAGGAGCTGCCTTTCAGCGTTCTCCCCACACGCCACTGCGGCAGGCCTGCATTAGAGAAATGGACTTACACCAGTGCTGGGGATGGCAGATCAAGGGGGCTCTGCCCACCCTCATGTCCCCTGCTGTTAAAATCCCATCCTCCTCTGCCCCCTAAAAAGACATCAAGCCAAGCCAGTGCCTCACAGAAGCCCTCGCGAAGACAGGACGGCCCTGGCCTCTGACCACGCATCTCACTCACAGGCAGATTTTGAGAGGAATGACAAGAACTTTATTCTAATATTGCATGAAATGTTTTTGAAGTAGAAATGGTTATCTGACAAAAAAATTCCTTACACTTTGACCATCTATAAGGTTATTTTCTATAAAATTATATAAATATTTCCATGTCCATATAGGAACACGTTTATGGTCCTAAAAGTTTTAAAAATCAACAGAATTAGATTCTTTAGATAATGATCAGCCTAGTCAGAAAACAACATTCCCCAAGCAAGCATAAAGAGAGGACGCAGTTACTGATGGACAGCGGAAATGTGCTGCAGGCTGGAGTTGGCGGGCTGAAAACAATGAAAACACAATCACTGGGGTGCTTGGATTTTATAAAATAAAACCCCGCAAAAACTATATGTAAAAAGTGAAACTAACCATCCAAGGTGAAGGTCAGATGACCTCCTGAATGAACTGCATTCTGAGTTGAAACAATGAATAGATCACCTGGTAGATTCGTTCTTCCAGGAGGCAAGGACCTTTTCCTTGTTTATTCTTATCAGGAAAACTTCTATTCAAGGTAGAAGGACAATTAGAGTGAAGCCTTCACAGCTGACAGACACGGCTTGTCCACTGGCTATGTCATCCTGGGCAAAGTCCTCAGCCTCTTGGAGCCTGTTTCCTTGCCTGTAAAATGCGGACAGTAATAGCTACCTTGTTGGTTGGTTGGGAAGATTAGAGGTAATCTATCGAAAGTGCTGCTAAAACTGCCCCTGGCAAGTAATGGACACTGAAAAAAGTCACTAAAACTATTTTGTGTGGGAGAAAAGGGTTTCACCCAGAATTTAATCCAACATCTACTAGTTTGCTCCCAAGGGGTTCTGTCAATCACAACCAACTTCAGAGTCTAAAACTGGACCCCTTCTGCTGCTCTGAGAGCCACGGCCAGGTAAACAGATGCTCCCTTCGGGATGCTGTGGCCACTCCTTTCCTGAAGCCCCTGTGCGTGCAGAAGGCAGGCTCAAGGAGGCTGTGCTTTCCTCCTATTTGGGCAGTACCTAATCTCCAAGCCACACAAGGCCAGGTGCTAGTGACACGAATTCTCTATTGAACCCCATGAGGTGACAGTCACACAGAAGACTGAAAACGAAGCTCCTGGGGCCATGCAGGGAGGCTCCTGCACACATATGTCTCCCATGGGACAAACGTTTTGAGCACCACAGGCTGGGCAGGAATATAGAAGGACGTCCTGAATTGCGAGAACCTGGACCCCACAGGAAGCCAAGTCTGGACTCCCACGTCAGCTGGTCAGCAACAACACTCTACTGAGAAGCCCCCACTCCATGGAGAAGGGGGCTTCAAACAAAAAAAGAACTCTCCTGGACCTGAAGAATGGTGTGGCAAGCTCCCTGGCTGGGGATGTGCGAGCCAGGAAGCAGGTTCAAGCTGAAATGCACACTCTAGAGCACTGGAGAAGCGCCTGAGAGCAGCAGCAAGGACCACAAAGACATTGGTCTCACCCTCCTAGGAGACAGGCAGGGTTCCAAGGGGTCCCCACGGACAAGCACACAGAAGAGAAAAGGAACAGACTGTGCAGGAAGAAAGCAGCAGGCACACCTGAGGTAAACTGTGGTCTCAGAAACATGATGCACACAGACAGGCGTCATCAGAAAGAGCCTGACAGTGAGGTCTGCCGTTCTCTGGAAAGGCCCAGTGAGGTTTTTTGGTCCTGATGAAACTGTTCTCCATTTCATAGCAGTCATCCTAAATACTCCAAGCGGAGGTTTGTGAGGAGGGTGACTCGCCTCTCACCTTCTACAGTACAGCCAAGGACTAGAGTCCAAGACAAAGCCCATCCTGACGGTTCAGTGACGCCAAGAGGCAGGCCAGGCCGTCTTCTCTAGGGCAAGGCCAGTTGCACTCAGACAAGGCCACGTGCTGCAGGGCAGGATGACTGGACATATCCAGGGAGTGGAAGTCCCCAAAGCTGGAGGCTAGCTCAGCCCATCCTGCTGCTGGCTGTCCCGCTCAGCTTGTGGCGAGTGGAGGCAAGGCCCTGCCCTGGCCTGCCTGCCTGGTGCCATCAGATGTACTGCTCCTCATCCCTGTCATTCAGGAGCAGAGACCACTTGTCCCCACCATCGTCCGCTGCAGTGCTGTGCCGAGATGGCTTGTCGGATGTCAGGGAGGACAGCGACACCTGGCTGACATAGCTGACCTGGTCCCATGGTGTGGCCCTGGGGGAGTCCCGCCGCCTGTCATCCATGCCGATGTGCACACTGACCTGGGATGCTGTCAGGGGCTTCATGTGGCCATGCGCCTGTGCCTCATACCTCTCCAGGTCAGGCTTCTTATAGCTGGAAAGCAGGAAGGCAACAGCATCTGAGCCATTCTAGAAACAACGCTCTTTTTTTTCTCAGCCTGGTGAAGGCCTCTCATCCATCTTTTAATAACATTTAGTAACAAAACCTCAAGAGTTCCCAAGGAAAAGGATATTAAACTCCCTATGGTTCCAGGAAAGCTCACCTGATTTAGAAACTTCCTAAGCAAATGCCTTGCATATTGTAGGCTGCCACTCACTTTTGTTAAATGAATGCACTCATAAATAAGTGAACATCTTTTTTAAAGAAAAAAAATGATAGATAATACACAGGGACCCATGTCTGCTTGATGTTCACAATAACAGCCCTTGAGCAGCAGAGCAAGGGCAGCCCAGCATGTGGATGGGCAGCAGTGAATTGCCTGCTCACGGTGCTGATAAGTTACACGCATGCACACCAGGCTCCACGTGGGCTGCCATTGCAGCGTTTGTCCCAGGTGAATGACTGGGGAATGAGAGGCAAGTTCCACTGTTCCCTGAGCATGCAGAATGACAGGGCCTCCTGGGAGCCTCCAACAGATGCTCCGCCTGAGGGGACTCACCACTTGAGCTGCAGGGATGACAGCACCACAGACACAGAGGAGGCGGCCATGGCCGCTGAGCCCATCCAGGGCTGCAGCACAATGCCGATGGGCATGAAGACACCTGGGGAAGAAAGAACTCGCACTCACACCTAGGCCGGGGGAGAGGAGCCAGGAGAGGGCCTCAGGCACCGGGCTGGCCCCACCCTCAGTGGCCCCCAGTGAGGTCTCCACCTGGCGGGCTCGGAAGCCCCTGCCAATGGATCTTGTTCACAAGCCCCCCAAAGTGAGGCTTCCTAGAAAGCTGGGTGTGAGGTGCTGTCAAGCGGGCCTGGCTCTCTTCCATTTGCCCTGACATTTCCAGAACCACCCACAGGTGGCATCCCATTTCAGGGCGAGCTCCAGGGCAGCGACGAACCAGAGAGTGGGAGGAGCGGGAGGAGAAAAGTGGCAGGAGGTGAGGGAGCCAGCTGCCCATCCTGCAGCCACAGTACCACAGAGGACAAACATGGCTGATGGCCACAGCCCTTGTCTAGCAGATGATCTTGCCTCCAGGGCTTCATGACATCTTTAAAAGAGGAATGAGAGCCAGGTCCCAGGACAGGGTCATGAGACAGGTATGGTCAACTTTGTGTGGCAGAGGCACACACACTGGGGGAATTAAGCTCCTGAGCCAGCTCTGGGGACAGGAAGTAAACCTGCCTAACTCACTGGGCTCAGGAGGCCAACACCCTGTTACACAAGTCACCACTAACCACTCAGACACAAGGGAGACTGAGGCAGGAATGCTGTGATTACAAACTTGATCTCTCCTCAGCCCATGGAAGAACACTGCCTTGCAGAAGGGTCTGGAACTTTTCACTGCCATGTTCCTGGGGCAGGGGGCAGGGGGCAGGGGAGAGGCGTTTCTTGGGGAGGGGGAATGAGGGGGAATTACAAAGCAGAAAAATCTATTTCTTTTCTTTTTCTTTTTTCTGAGACAGGGTTTTACTCTTGCCCAGGCTAGAGTACAGTGGCACAATCATGGGTCACTGCCACCTCCAACTCCTGGGCTCAACAAATCCTCCTGCCCCAGCCTCTGTACTCCCAGATGGGACTAAGGTGTATGCTACTATGCCCAGCTAATTTTAAAATTTCTGTAGAGATGAAGTCTCACTATGTTGCCCAGGTGAGTCTTGAACCCCTGAGCTCAAATGACCCTCCTGCCTCAGCCTCCCAAAATGTTGGGATTACAGGCTTGAGCTACCACGCCTGGCCAAAAAGCCGTTTCTTTCCATGATCATTTGTGTAACTCAGAGTGAAACCTGGGCAGGACTGAAGCTCAGGATAAGGTTCTGAAACACCAATAATTGTGCCTAACATGTAGCAGATGCCCCATAATTCTTACTAATGATTATTCCTCAGACTATATGTCTTAACAAATAGCTCTGAAAATAAGGCCACAGTAAAATAGGGCTCAGAAAATACAGCCAAGCATCTCCACTAGCTTTTTAGAAAGGAACAGAGTGAATGAAGTTTTCAGGTCCTCTTCACAGTTTCTCATTTACCTTTAAAGACATATAAAGCAGGGGACATAAAAAAAACCAGCCTTTCTAAAGCATCTCTAGCCAGCCAGTGAGTGAGCTACTCACTAACCTCGGCAGAAACCTGGGAGACAGAAGCCTTTCTGGGCACAGCTGGAGCACAGTGGGTAAAAGCTGCCTACCTGCCGCGATGGGTATCCCAACCAGGTTATAAATCAGTGCCAGGACCAGGTTGATGCGTATCCTCCGGACAATCCTCTTGGAAAGGTGAATGCTAGCCACCACATCCAGCAAATCATTCTGATGGAGAGAAGCACACAGTGAGGAAGGCGTCTGCCCACCACCCTCCCAGCACCCACAGCCTGGCTGCAGCCGCGCTCACTCTGATGAGGACGACGTCGGCTGCCTCGATGGCCACATCCGTGCCAGTGCCAATGGCGACACCCATGTCTGCCTGAGCCAAGGCTGGGGAGTCATTGACCCCATCCCCCACCATGGCGACTCTCTTCCCTTCATTCTGGAGCTCCTGGACCTTGGCCACCTTGTGCGAAGGCAGCACCTCTGCGAAGACTTTGTTGATGCCAACCTAAGACAAAAGAAAGGCAATACCTGGTGTTGGCAAAAGGTATCAGATAGCAGCAGAAGCCTCAAATTACCCTTGCCCCTCTGCCCTCAGCCTCTGGGTCCAGTCAGTGACGTTGGTCAGCCACACCCTGCAGGTTTGCTGTCACAGGGCCAGTTCATCCCTGGCTCCCGCCCCAACACCCTGTACTGGTTTAGGCCCTGTCCTTTTCTGGATGTGCAAACAACCCCCTTGCTGGTCTCCCTGTCCACAGCTCAGTACTCCAACCTTCTTCTCCATGTGCTGCCCCCATGGTCTTTCCAAAGCATCTGTATGGCCATGGGTCCCTACTCTCCTGTCTCATGTCCTCCAGCAGACCCCATGCACCTCCCAGAGGAGGGCAGCTCAACTCTCAGGTCTGCTTCTGAGGTCCCCAGAGTCTCAGGGTCCGGCCGCTGGTGCCACACTTGACCACACCATTCAGCTCCCTGCGGTGTCTCCAAATCGCCGTGCTATTCTGTGCCCCTGGGAAATGCTCCTGCTGCCTGCTGTGTCCTGGGAAGGTGCAGTTTTCCTTTCCTAGCCCCTCTCCCGCTTCTCAGATATACATTGTCACTGGTCCGCCTTCTTGCAAGACTGTGAGCCGAGCCCCCTTCATTCCTCACAGAGCCTGGCCCCGCACCTGCCTGTCACATTCGTGGTGCTTCATAAGTGCCTGCTGAATGGATGAACAAGTGTTAGCCAGAAAAGGGGGGAAGGACGCTAAACAGGTCCACCATTAGCAAGGAGGACCATGGAAAACAGGGGTACTGCTGCTTCCCTCAAGGAACACAATTAAGCTTTCAGAAGCCTAGAGCTCTGCACACATTTGGAGGTGCATAATTTCTAGGAATCCAAACTGGAGCCACTGCTGTGTGAGGAGTCCGGCAGCCATCCAGTGGTACTGTCCTCACAGGCCAAACAGCCTCAGGGGCTGCTGGAGAACTGCCCAGGACTGAGTCACTTATCTGAGCACCTGAGTGAGAAGAGCTGAGCTGGCAAAATCTTCCTTTAACATAAAGGTTAGAAAGTGTCTATCTTAGCCCTTAAGCCACATACTTTTTTTCCATTGCCAAGACTGGGAAAAGGTTAGAGAACAATGGAACTCCTTTTTCGAGGATGCATGCACCCAAACCCCAGGAAGAGATCTTCGCACGGCACCACAGTGCTCACGTGTGACACTACGTGGCCACAGAATGAAGCACGTGGAGAGAAAAGCATCCAGAGAGGGGGAAAGAGCAGGAGTACAGTTCAGTGCTGGGCCAACTGGTGCTTACTTTTGTCTCTTACTGCTTTTATGAGCTTTACGCAGTTTGCAATATTAAAGGGCTGTACCTGGGTGGCAATGGCTCTGGCTGTCTTCCGGTTGTCCCCGGTGATCAGAACCACGTCCACACCCATGCTTTGCAGCGTGTGCACAGCCAGGGCAGCCTCCTGCTTGACAGCGTCTGCGATAGCAATCATCCCACAGAGCACACCTGGAGTGAACCAGCCGGCATGAGCAGCTACACAGGATGGGCACCCCGCATCAAGACACCACACTTGCAATGTTCTCATCATATAATGTTACGTGCAAAAAACAAAACGCCAAATTATATAACACAATGGGGGTTTTTTGCTTTTTAAAAAGTACATGCATTTACAGACATACAGAAAAGTCTGGAAGCAATATAATTAAAATCTTCACAGTGACTCCCCGAGGAAAAGGATTATGAGTGATTTCATTTTCTCCTTTATAGCTGAATTTTCCAAACTTTCTGCAAGGAGCATGTATGACACTTTGCAAAGTGCCTGGCTTGTAATAAGAATTCAATACACGTTAGTGACTAAAACTCAAGAAATATAACAGATATCACTTAAAGTGATAAATGTCCAAACTAGAAAATCAATCCTTCTTTGTCTTTTCCTACAGAAAACATTTTGGCAGAATTTCTCTTTGAGTGAATCTTTAGCTATAGAAGCAGGAGGGTTTTTAGGGCTGAGGTGTGAATGAGAACACAGTGAGGGATGACATACGAGATGGCACGACTCCTTTACTTGTGCCAATTCTGGTTTGACAGCCGAGGGGAGGGTGGATTTACAAAGACTTACAAAAAGGGAAAAAAAAAGAGAGAATGTGAGAGGAAGACATATTTGGCTGGAGCATTCAAAAGGTATCATAAATTTTATTTCTTGCTTGCATATACTGTTACTTCTATTAGCAGAAACTAACATTAACAAAGTAAAGACTCTAATCTCTCTGGCGTGTAAAGCCCAGGATAGAATCTGAGCACTAAAACACATGCAGTCTTTTTTTTTATTTGAGATGCAGTTTCATTCTCGTTGCCCAGGCTGGAGTGCAACGGCATGATCTCGGCTCACCACAACCTCCGACTCCCAGGTTCAAGTGATTCTCCTGCCTCAGCCTCCCCAGTAGCTGGGATTACAGGCGCCTGCCACCACGCCCAGCTAATATTTTTTTAGCAAAGACGGGGTTTCACCATGTTGGTCAGGCTGGTCTCGAACTCCCAACCTCAGGTGATCCAACCACCTCAGCCTCCCAAAGTGCTGGGATTATAGATGTAAGCCACCGCACCCAGCCAACACACACAGTCTTGAGACCTGTACTCTATGCAACACCAGTCTGTATAAAGCAGACAGACGGGCAGGCGCGGTGGCTCACGCCTGTAATCCCAGCACTTTGGGAGGCCAAGACAGGGGGATCACCTGAGGTCAGGAGTTCGAGATCAGCCTGGTGAAAACCCATCTCTACTAAAAATACAAAATTTAGCTTGGCGTGGTGGTGGGGGCCTGTAATCCCAGCTACTCAGGAGTCTGAGGCAGGAGAATTATTTGAACCCGAAGGCAGAGGTTGCAGTGAGACGAGATCGCACCACTGCACTACAGCCTGGGTGACAAGAGGGAAACTCGATCTAAAAAAAAAAACAAAAGTAATAACAAATAAATAAAGCAGACAGAGAAGAGTGGCATGGATCTCATTGTTTAAATGCGTCCTGTAGTTAAACCTGTTGGGAAGTGAATTCCTGCTTTGTCTGCAGGGATGAATGAGAAGGATGACTCTGAACTGCCCACCCGGACAAGAGCAACGATGATGACAAAGACAGTTTAGAATTCCAAGGTCAAGAAGACTGAGGCCAGACCAGAGCTGGCTATGGGGCCAAGATGGAGACAGTGGGAAACAACGAAGAGAAAAGACAAAAAGGCAATCTTTTGGGAAACAGGCCTGAAATTAAGAGAGGAAGGTTTTCATTTGTTTTCTTTTCTTTTTTAAAGGAGGACTCTTTTGCCTTATTCAGGGTTTTAAGGCTGGAAGGTGGGCCGTGGGCCTTCTAACCACCACAATTCTAAGTCAACAATTTCCACCTACCAACATTAGGAAAAAACACTAGTCACTGGGTTGGTGTTTCCATCCCTTTATTCTGTGGCGTGGCAGCGTACCGAGAAATGAGGCCCATTCTCAAAAAGCAGCCTGTCCCTCCAGGCAGTGTCCCTTCTGGCTTTGGGGCAGACATTCCCCGTCTGCTTTCCTGACTTTTCTCTGCCTGGCTCGGTAAATAACCAGCAGTTCTACCACACGGATGGAAACAGGAAAGAACAAAAGTTGGAATTCCCATCTGCAACCTCTGTGGCTTATGGAAGAAGCAGAGACCGGATTTGGGGATAAAGAAGACGAATCAAAATCACGGGTC